AAATGTTTATGCACATTATACAAAGCAATTGCCCCTTGTATTTTCAAAAAAAATCTATAAATGGTTAAGATAAAACAATATATTGGTTGGGGAGCCTAAAGGAAATGCCAAAGAGTTTTAGGGGTATAAAGAGAAATCCATTATTGATTCGATACTAGAAAAGATGCTCCAAAGTGACACAATTTACTACAACTCTTATGTTATTTTATTGATTTTCCCAACGCCTTTGACTATGTTCCACATTCTTGGGTCATCTATATACTGAAATTGTATAAAATAGATCCAACATAATAAATACATTAGAACTTCTTTAAACTCTTAATGATTATTGAGGACAAAGGATATGACCAGGCAGTTTTCAGAAGAAGAAATCACAGCTATCTATAATCATATGAAAAAATGCCCTAAATCTCTATTGATTAGAAAAATAAAAATTAAAACATATCTGAAGTAACACCATACACCTATCAGAAATGAAAAATGCTCCTGGGAATGAGGGGAAATTAGTACACTAATAAATTGTTAGTGGAGTTGTGAACTGGTCCAACCATTCTGGAGAATAATTTGGAATTATGCCCAAAAAGCTATCAAACTGTGCATACCCTTTAACCCACCAATACCTCTACTGGGTCTGTATCCCAAAGACAGCAAATAAACAAGAAAAGACCCACGTGTAAAAATATTTATAGCAGCTCTTTTTGTGGTGGCAAAGAATTGGAAATTGAGGGGAAACTCATTAATTGAACAAGTCATGGCATAATGATTATGATGGAGTACTACTGTGCTCTAAGAAATGATGAGGGAGTGGTTTCAAGAAAATCATGGTAAGACCTATATGAACTGGTGCAATGTGATGTGAGAAGAACCAGGAAATCATTGTGCATAGTAACAGCAATGTCATGATGATGATCAACTGTGAAAGACTTGGCTACTCTAATCAATACAATGATCTGAGACAGTTTGAAAGGACTCATAATCAAACAATGCTATCCACCTCCAGAGAGGGAAATGGTGAACTCTAAGTGCAAACTGAAGTATAATTATCTCACTTTTTGTATTTTTTGTCTTTTTTGTGATACATCCAAAATGGAAGTATATTTTACATGTTTTCACATGCATAATTGATGTCATTTTGCTTGTCTTCACAGTAAGTGGGGTGACTGACAGGGAGGCAGAGAATTTGGAACTCAAAACTTAAAAAAAAAAAAAGAACATGAAAAATAAATAATTTTTTAAAAAATGTTGAGGACATCCCTCTCTGCAGATAATGTTTGTTTATGTGGGTTTTATCTATTGATATTTACCATGTTAGGAATGTAAACATCTTAGTCTTCTGATGAAAATAGTTTTGACCTCATAAACTTCCTGAAAGGGTCTTGGGAACCCCCATAGGTCTCCATATCACATTTTGAGATTCTACTACAACATCTGATGTCTACATGGAAAATTATTCTCTATTGAAAACATACTACCAACACAATAATGTCAAGAACAATTGATATTAAATGAGGCATCTCCTAAGGAAACAGTGGACTAAAGTGCCTGTTTTCCCATAGCCCTTCAACAATCATCATTTCCCTTTTTAGTCATCTCTACCAACATGACAGGGGTGAGATGCAATGTCATTGTTTTGATTTTCATTTCCATTATTAAAGATTAATTATTGTGTCTCTTTTTGTTGACATTTAATGATATTAAAGCATTTTTCATGTTTATTGGTAGACAAATTTATTCCCTTGAGAACTCCATGTTCATATACTTTGGCCATTCATCTATTAGGCAGTCATTGTCATTCTTACATATTTTAATCAGTTCCTTATATATCTTGGATACCAGACCTTTATTAGGGAAGCTTATTGCAAAGATCTGTCCCTAGTTAACAATTTTCCTTCTGATTTTAACTACATTGATTTTGCTTGTAAAAAAAAATTATATTGTCCATTTATCTTTTATAAGTATCTCTATTTTTTCTTCAGTCATGAACTTACCCTTTGTCCACAGTTGTAAAAGATATTTTCTTCCTTGCTCCTCTAATTTGTTTATGGTGCAACCTTTTATGTCTAAGTCATATATCCATTGTGGCATGTGGTATGAAATCTTCATCTAAATCTAATTTCTGCCAGACCGCTTTTCAGATTCTCCATAGACTTTTGTCCAATAGTGGGCTCCTTATCCTAGTAGTTGTGGTCTTTGGGTCTGTCAAACACTATGAAACTATGGTGATTTATTTCTATACACTGGATACCAAATGTGTTCCACCGATTTACTTCTCATCCCCAAACTCTTAATCATTTGCACAAAGAAATCACTTAATCCCCCTACACAATAGTCGACTACACTTTAAATATAAAAGAATAGTAGCAGGATATGAGAGAACATTTCTATCTGAACCCCATTAAAAAAAGAAAACAAAAAATAATAATGTAAGTTTTCAATAGATTCCATCAAATAATATGAAAAAGCAAACTGATAATGATAAAGATGCTAATAATTCAAATTTATGTACAAACAACTTGGAGCAAGGCTGAAGGCTGAGATGTTTTGTGGAAAATGTATGTAACTGAAAGGAGAGACTTCCAGCTGGGGTATGAGCATCGAGCAATGCCCTTCAAATGCTATGGCTCTGTCTGAGACAGCTAGTCAAATAAAGGACAATGAAGCAATAACTTCAATGGACAGGAAATCAAAGATCAAAGCCTCCATCTATTTTCATGACACAGAGAAGACATCTCAGTCTCTTGAGTTGCTTTGCTATATAGAGACTATGCCAATCCTACAGAGCACATTCACAAAGCTGCTAATACTTTTATTTCAGGGGCCTCAGAGAAGTTAAACAACTTATATGCCAACTTCTATCCTTACCTCTCTTCTTAAAGCAACCTCTTGTTTTCTGACTTTGTGCTGTTCCTCACATAAAATGCTCCATCTCTTGATATGGGGCATTTTCACTGGCTGTCCCCCATGCCTAGAATTTTCTCCTTCCTCTTCTCTGCCTCCTGCCTTCCCTGACTTCTTTCAAGTCCCAGCTAATTCCCACCTTCTACAAGAAGCCAATCCCATTCCCAGTCTCTCTTAATGTTAGTGCTTTCTCTCTGAGTTTACCTACAATTTACCCTGTACATCTCTCATTTGTACACAATTCCTTGCACATTGTCTCTCCTATTAGACTGGGAGCTCCTTGAGATCAGAGACTGTCATTTGCCTTTCTTTGCATTGTACATTGTAGATGCAGGTGCTTAATAAATGCTCGTTGAATGACTAACCTTTCCAAGCCTTTTTCAGCGTTGCCTTTTCCTAATTTCCACATTGTTAGCCAACTTATCCCTTGCAACTCAAGATCCTTTTCCCTTATGTACTGTAAACTCTATAAACACGCCATCTCTCTGGTCTTCTTTTGAGAATCAGGGTATTGGACATTGCACAGAAGTTGACAATAGGACAAACAGGTTCAAACCCTTTTTTGAAAATTTACCATCTGTGGGACCATGAAGTATCTCCAAGCCTTGGTTTTTGCATCTGCAAAATGGAAATAACCACACTAGTACTACCTACACCACCAGGTTGATGTGAGTAAAGTGCACATGGAAATAGGAGCTTATCCTATAATTTTCAAAGCTATTTCAAAATCTCAACAGACACCTGATAATCAGTATCAGCCCTCCTGCATACTAAAAGAAGAAAGTCTTACACAGTTTACCTCCAAAAAATCATCCCATAATCAAGGTGAGAGGAAGTGTCATTGCAACCACTCTGATACCATCCAATGTATGTCCTGCGTGTGTGGCATGATGTAGCTTGTTCACCATGGCATGTATGCAAAGTAAAATTAACGAGGAAAATATCAACAATAACCAAACCATAATATAGTGATAACTGGATCTGCCACCTAATAAGGTGACCTTATTTTTTCATTTTTCCTGCAAATGATCATAACAACTCACCAAAACACAGCATTTCCAGGTTTGTCACACACTCTCCTCAAGACACCTTTATGAGAATGATAGTACAAGCATCCTCATTTATACAGATGGGGAAACTGAGGTTCAGAGAAGAGAAGTAAGTTGTCCATGGTTACACATAATAAATATCAGAGCTGGACTTCAAACCCAGGTGCCCTGATGTCAAATCCAGTCCTCTCTTCACTATACCTATGCCATATGTATTGTCAAATATTTATCAAGTCCAGTGATTCTCAAACTTTTTGGTCTCAATACACCTTTACACTCTTAAAAATTATTGAGGACTTGGGGAAGGTAGGTGGTGCAGTGGGTAGAGCACCGGCCCTGAAGTCAGGATGATATGAGTTCAAATCCGTCCTCAGACCAAATACTTGATACTTACTAGCTGTGTGACCCTGGGCAAGTCACTTAATTCCAATTGCCCCCCCAAAAATTACTGAGGACCTCTGAAGAGCTTTTGTTTATGTGGGTTATATCTATCAATATTTACCAAATTAGAAATTTAAATATACTAATATTATGATGAAAACAATTTTAACCACATAGACTCCCTGAAAAGATCTTAGGGACTCCCAAGGATCTGCAGGCTATACTTTGAGAGTCAGTGGTCTAGTCCTTATTACATGTAGCTGTGAAAAGCTATCTGATAATATAAAAGCCAAATGTTTTATATTTGTAACATTAAAAATAATCAAAATGTTTTTTATTTCTAATATCCACCTCTTAAAATATTTCTTTACTTCTTTAAAATATAATTGACCATTCTGATCAATAGCATCACTTACTATGTTCAGAGAGCCTATAAGTTCTTTTCTTCCATTTCACAAAAGAAGAAACTTTAGCACAAACAAGTGAGCCGATTTAGATAAAACAAATCAGAACAAGGCCTAGAAATAGAAACCAATTTTTTTCTGAATGAAGAAGAAACAATATAAACAGGGCTGTACAAGAAAAGGCATTTTGGAATAAACACCTTAGTTTCTAAAGATCCCACTTCCCAACTACCCCTCTCAAACAGTAGAAAAAAGAAGGTCCCCATACCATTTAATCCACAAGCAGGTTCCTTTTGTTCCAGAGAGCCCCACTTCTTCCTCAGAGAATCTGGATGTACTTGTCTCTTGTAAATGATATGTAGGTGATGCTTTCCTTCAACCAATTGATGCATTTTAACAGGTTCAATGAAATAGTCTCCATGTGGCAGGCGAAAAAATCCAGTCTGAAAATATATTCAATAAGATTTGGATCAACTTCTTGTAAGTGAAAGAAAAACTGAGAGAAAACAAAATTGTGTAGATGTTGCTGCTTACTGAAGATCAGCATTTCTGTCGTTCACTATTCAGCCCCAAACATACATTTCCTCCTCTGTATGCATCTAAAGGGCTGTCCAGTACTGCTACCAGTCACCAAGTAGGATCCCTCAATAGTAACTTAATGATGTGCATGAATGACATGGCCTCCTAATAACTTCAGCACTTTCTAAACTGCCCGTGGGTATATTATCCAACCAACAGCCTTTCCAGGTACTCTATTTGAACTCCCTGCCATCTTACCCTGACCTGATGCTTCATCTCTTGGAACCCAAGCTAAGCTCTCTTGATTGGTGAATGAGTAAAAACCTATGTACTCTACTGTATCTAGCTAGCCCCAAATCAGTGTCATAGGCCCTCCAGCTATTTACCCCTGGTATCTTGCTACCTGCTCTTCTGACACAAGAATATACCCTCACCTCACCCCAGCCCTAGCTTTCTACCTCTTACTTTTGGCACAGTACCCAAATCCAGAAAGGTCATGTCAATTAACTGCATATGGATAGACTCTCCATCCCTGGACTCCCAAAACCAATTCTCTTGGTCACCACTTCCATTGTATGTGTTGAATACCCAACTAAAATCAACAACACATGGAAAAATTCCCAACACATAGAAAGTCAGCGATTTAATGTTTTTTTTTATTCATTCATTGATTCACTCACTTATTCATTCATTCATTTAACCATTCCTCTCCATTGGCCTAGAGTGTGAACTGCTCATCACAAGGTTGCTGATGCAAGAACAGGTAGGCTAAGATATAATCATGTTATCTACAAGAAGCAAGAGTTACACACAACATGACCAAGGCATCCTCATTGCTAGACCTGTTCCTACCCCATCTTGGAATAGAGCCACCTGCTGGCTCTCTACAACTCACTTCTGCACAGTACCAGTGCTCATGGCTATACCACTCAAGGGGGAATTTTAGAGGCAGAGTTCAAGGTTGTTTAGTCTAACCTCATCATTTTACACTCAAGGAAACTGAGAAACAGAGAGGTTAAGCAAGTTGTCCTAGAATTTGAACCCAGTTCTTCTGACCCCAAATTCAGCACTCTGTCTATTATACCATGTTACCACAGACCATCCCTTATATCATGTTCCTCCTCTGGGAACCTCATTCTCCCATCTAGAGCAGAATATCTGTCAGAAAGAAACATTTTGATGGATTGCACTTATGAGCTCCCCTGTTATGAATCTAATACTTATACCCACACACACATTAATCCTTTTCCAGAATGCTCTCATTTGGGTTGACAGTTCCAAAATACAGTTTTTGACTTGGAGACAGGATAGGAGTTGGACCTCTGAGACCAGCCCATGGACCCTGAATCTCAGGGTAATAACAGGACCTGAGAAAACCAATCTGAGAACAAATTCCCTAAGAAATATGTCACTCCAAGTTAATCTATGGAAAATCCCTAGTCTGCCTTACTATGTATGCTGAGTATTATGATGCTCAGCATCATAGGCATAAAGATGATTCAAACAATCAGTGAATTACAAGTAAAAAAGAAACTCATGAAAGAAGAGGTATCTTGTTGCCAGAGATAACTTAATTTGGCATCTAACAACAGCTTAAGGGGGCCACTTTTGAAATTTTATCTTACTTTTTTTTTGGTCTACATTTGTTTTCAGTCTCTGGGGACCTCCCAGCATGGAAACTCCCTCCAAAAATTAAGTAACTTGTCGATAGCCAAATAGAATATATGTGTCAGAAAGCAAGACTTGAATCAAGATTTTCTTGACTTCCAAGTCAATCTTCTATACAAAATTGTTTATCTAGGTGGAAATAACTAGTTCCATACCTTAATTAGTGATATTCTTCAATTTCTATTGAATTACAAGTCAAGAAGGACCACAGCAAACCCATCTGACCCAGAGTTCCAGTCATCCTGACATAGGACCCTGGGGTTTAGAGCCATAAAGAACCTTAGTGATCGTCTAGTCTAGCGGTGTCAAAGGCTTCCCAAAACAGATTGAAATGTAATTGGGCAATATTTAACAAAATAAATAAAAATATGATAGAATTTAGATAATGTCAATATAGAGTTTTCTCAGTGAACATGCGGATCACAGAGATCTTTTGCAGGGTTTAGTAGCCCCTCTTCCTGTCTGAATTTGATATCACTGATCTAGTGGTACCATTTTTACAGATGAAGTAATGGAGACTCCAAGAGTTTGTCATAAAAGGGAACAGATGACAGAACTGGCATTCAAGCCACATTTTTTTTTCACTCCAAATCCAGCACTTCTTCCTGTTGTTCTTTTGAGGACTGTCATTTTCTCGGTCACTGCTTTTCCTTGAAGGCTTCTCACAGGAAGAATCAAGGCATTAAAACATCTGGAAATAGACTCCATACAGCTCAGGGATTTGGTTCCATTTCTATAATTAAACATAAGCAGAGTGCAAAAAGAGAACTTGAATCTGATGTGGATTTTTAGAGTACATTTTTGCTCTATAGTAACAAAACAGGTCTCCCAATAGGGCCAGGGATTCTGTGAACATTGTGTGACTTCTATTAAAATGAATATCACTTTCCTAAGAGAGGCAACTGGAGCAGCTGGGATGCAGTGGCTAGGCCTGGAGTCAGGAAGACTTGAGTTCAAATCCAGGCTCAGACACTTACTAGCTATGTGACCTCTTGGGAAGGTCACTTAACCCTGTTTGCCTCAGTTTCCTCATATGTCAAATGAGCTGAAGAAAGAAATGGCAAACCATTCCAGTATTCCTGCCAAGAAAATCCCAAATGGGGTCACAAAGAGTCGAACATAACTGAAACAACGGAACAAGAAAAAAAGGAGGTAACAAGAGAACACTCATACAACAATGAGATTTTAATTGTGTTTCCTCAGTCGCAAACTCTGGCTCCAAGCTGTGCAGAGATAGATGGGACTCTGGGCCAAGCCATCATTATCACATTTATCCCCATTAGCAGGAATGGGGACACCGGAAGGTGCTGCTGTTTTCCCAAATGTTCACTTTCCATTTGCATTCTTCTGCCAAACACTATTGGTTGCTGGGTTTGTTTATATATTATCCCACTAGTAGAAGTGGGAGGAGACCAAACATCCAGCCCAAATATTCCCAAGAAATCCATTCACAAATTTGGATAAACTGCCCCTCAGCTACAAAGTCATTTCCCAGTCATAGTAAGACTTTCACCGTATCTAGATTAGACTGAGGCATCAGCAGGATGCCACAATAGTGGCCAAAAAGGTGAACTTGGACCCACTATGACAAGAACAAGGAGGAAAGATGATGAGCAGAGACACTTAGGTCAGGTTATGGCAGGGTTTCTTAGCTCTTTCTGCTTTGGACCCCTTTGGCAGTGAGGTGAAGCCCACAGACCCTTTCTCAGGATCGTGTGTTTATATGCACAAAATAAAACACAGAAGATTACAAAGAAAAGCTGTTATATTAAAATACAGTTATCAAAATGTATTTTTTTAAAGTTCACAGACCTAACCATTAAGAATCACTACATTGTAGGGATGCTTAGAAAAGAAAGCTTCATAATAAAACTCTGGATTTCTTCTGTTCTGTCAGATTCTACCTCTTAAAAGCATCAGACAGTCACTTGAGTTTTTCCATGTAGCTTACATGAGCTTGCACAGCACATATCTGTAGGTACTCACACACAGCTGTGCACATCTGGCAGGCATGTGTATTGCAGCATGTTGTTCCCATTCCTTTAATCTAGCAGAATCCAGACTGTTCTGAAAGGAAGGGTCTGAGGTTTGATTTACAAAGGAACTGATTGCTCCTTGATCTTGCCTCATCGCATCCCCTTCCTCCACTAGATAGAAAGCTCTTTGAGTCCCAGTGGCTGATACAGTATCTTATTCACAACAGCTATTCAATCAATCAAAAAGTATTTATACTGTATAATACCTGCTATAGGCTAGGCACTGTGCTAAGTTTTGGGGAGAAAAATATCAAAATGAAATAGTTCCTGCCCTTAAGGAGCTTACTTTCTATGGGGAGAGAAAACATGGATATATAGAAGTACATTATACATATATGTATGTATACATATACATGTATACACACATATACACACACACCCACACAAAGATAACTTGGAGGGGAGAAGCACTAGAAGTTGAGGGTATCAAGATGGGCCACATGCAGGGACTGACATCTGAGCTGAATTTTAAAGCACACTTGGAATTCTAAGAGACTGGGAAAGGGATGGAACACATTCCAACCATGGGGGAGCTACCCTTGCAAAGGCACAGAGATAGACAATGAAATGTTCAGTGTAAGGTGTGCTTCAACAGAAAGAGTAGTTTGGTGGGATCATAGTGCACTTTCAACACTCAAAGGAGTAATGTATGGGCAGCTAGGTGGTGCAGTGGATAGAATGCCAGTCCTGGAGTCAGGAAGACCTGAGTTTAAACCTGGCCTCAGATACTTATAAGCTGTATGACCCCGGCCAAGTCACTTCACCTATTTGCCTCAGTTTCCTCATTTGTAAAATGAGCTGGAGAAGGAAATGGCAAACCACTCCAGTGTCTCTGCAAAAAACAACAACCACCACAACAAAAAAACAAATGGGGTCACGAAGAGCAGGACATGACTGAAATAACTTAACAATAAGAAATTATAAGACTAATTCATGTCATGTTAGGAACCACCATTCCTATTAGAGCTCAGGAGAAATTCTAAAGCCACATTTTCTCCAAACTGATTCAACACAATGCAACTGTTTATTATGACCCTACTATGTACAAGGCCCTGTGCCATAAAGGTAGTAAAATAAAAACTCTTTAAAAATAGTTGGCATTTTTTCATTGTATGTGTATCACCAGTACCTAGCACCTAGTAATCCCTTAATAAAGGGTTTGTGAATCTGTTGAATTGAAAGTCTGGACACTGAAGGATACACAAAGATCATTACGATCC